AGATTTGCCTAATGCAATACATTGTCTGATTTCTTGACTGCTGCTTCCGTGAGTGTTGTTAGTTAATTCAAGAAGAATGAAGTCCTTAACAACTTCAATCTTTTCTCCTTTAATAAGAATGTTGTTTATTGGTCCAATGATCAGGATTTTTGTTTTCTTTACATTGAGATGCAATCCATACTGAAGGCTGTGCTCTTTGATCTTCATTAATAAATATTGTAAGTCCTCTTCACATTCAGCAAGCAAGGTTATATCATCTGCATTAGGCATATATTATTATCATAACCCCCTTGCATATGAGGAAACTAAAACTTAATAAATATTAAATAACTTGCCTCACAAGAGGTGACTGGCTTACAAGCTTTCAAGAGGGAGCCTAGATCCAGAGGGTGCAAGGAAAGTAGAGTCTCCACTAAGTAGTATCCAATCTGTCTGGGCGGGGCTGATGAAAGAGATGGGGATAGATCTCTTGTGGTATAATAGTGAATAATTGCTATCAGGACTGATTGTGAGGGTTGGAAATGTAAAGGTAGACATTTTGTAGCAAAAGGAGAGGAGTGACTGACTTTGCAGTCCAGGAGCAGAGGTCCCTGGGACCATCAAGGGAGAAAAGCGGAGTGCGGGACCCTACCCAGAGAAACAGTGATGCCAGTGATGGAGGCAGAGACGATGATGTGGAGAGATGGAGCAGTTGGGAACTCTAGACCCAGAGAGGGAGAGGGCCTGTGTGTTGACGACTAGGGGGCAGGCTTGCAGGGTCCCTTTGGTTGGTTGATGATGCATGGAGGCACTTGTAACCATGACAATGAAATGATATATAATCAGATGAATGTAAAATTAATGTTTCCCATGTAAACTATCACATAATTCACAATAAAATATTTTTTAAATAAAAATAACTTGCCCCAGTCTATCCAGTTGTAAAGTGGTGGAACAGAGCTTTGAACTCAGTCAATCTAATGCCAGAAATGCTTAACCACAGACTCCATATCCCCTCTCTGTAACAGTATTTTTTTGGTTTACGTGTATTTCCAACCCACTAGGTCAAGAGTTCCACAATAATGTTGTTGTTGTTAGGTGCCATCAAGTTGGTTCCAACTCATAACAACCCTATGTACAACAGAGTGAAGCACTTCCTGATCCTGTGTTATCCTCACAATAGTTTCTTAGTTTGAGCCCACTGCTGCTGCCGTGGTGCCAATCCATCTCATTGGGGGTCTTCCTCTTTTTTGCTGAACTTCCACTTTACCAAGCAAGATGTCCTTCTCCAGGGACTAGTAGATCCTAATAGTATATCTGAAGTATGAGAGACTAAGTCTCGCCATCCTGACTTCTAAGGAGCATTCTGGCTGCACTTTTCACACCACAGATTTGGTAGTTGTTATGGTAGTCCATGGCACTTTTAATATTCTTGTCCAAGACCATACCTCAAATGCATTCATTCTTCTATAGTCTTCCTTATTCATTGTCCAACTTTCACATACATATGAAGCTATTAAAAATACCATGACTTGGGTCAGGAGCACCTTAGTTCTCAAACTTACATCTTTGCTCTTGAACACTTTAAAGAGGTCTTGTGCAGCATATTTGCATAGTACAATAAGTCATTTGGTTTCTTAACTGCTGCTTCCATGAATATTGATAGTATAGTGGATTCAAGCAAAATAAAGTCTTTGACAACTTCCGTCTCTTCTCTACTTATCATGTTGTTATTTATTGCTCCAGTGGTGAGGAGTTTTGTTTGTTTACATTGAGGTGCAACCCATACTGAAGGCTGTGGTCTTTTATATTCATCAGTAAGTATTTTAAGTCCATTCATTTTCAGCAAGCAAGGTTGTATCATCTGTATATCACATATCTGCATATTATAATAATAAAAACCCTATTTTGTCTTAGGTGTTTCAGTATCCCCAGCATTTCACATGGCTCCTGCTCAATGTATTTTCAATAACAGTGAACAAGCCTGAGGTTGATTTTATTGTTTAAATTCTATAAACACACACTTTTATATAGAACCTGCCCTACTGTGCTATATGCCTGAGATTAACTATCTCAAATTTTGTCATAGACCTGTGAAGAGAAGATTCTTGTGCCATTACCACTATCCTGGTTACCCCATTGTTTCATTCAACCTGGGCACATTTGGTGAAAGAGCTAATTCTAACCAGAGAGCAGACTATTACTCTCCTTCCAAGCCTCTCACAAATGCTTAAGCACTTGCATAAGTGAGATTCCACTCTGTGAATTCCACACCATCACCACTCTCGCTCCAGCTCTGCCCTACTCTGCTGATCACTGTAGCACCCTGCCCATGGGATTGAAAAGGAAAGAGGCACGAGTATAGTGGACAGTAACACCTTCCTCAGAGACAGCTTGTATTTGCACTCAATTCACTTATCGATTCAAAGTTCTCTGTTTTCTGATGCTGCACACCCTTAGCATCGATTTGTGTCACTGTCAGAGAGGGAAACAAAAAGAAAGTTCAAATTCTATCCCATCTAAACTTGGCAAGGGTTAAATTCCAGACAGCCATACGTTCAACTGCCAAAGGTGTTTAAGCCAACTAGGTGAGTGAGACCCATTGCACACAAAAAGGAAAAAGCAAAGGAACATTTCCCTGAGAGGCAAAACAAACAAGAAAACCCCCCAATATACAGAAGATGGGGTGTTGCTCACCACTGGAGTCACTCATTGATGAACACAGCATCCTATCTTCACTCTGGAGAACGGGTATTGGGTTTCCTTAGGGACCCACTCATCTTAGTTACTGTCTAGCCCTGTGTTGTCCAATATAGTAGCCCACTAGCCGCATGTGGTTATTTACATTTAAACTTACAGTAAATTAAACATTCAGTTCCTCAACACACTAGCTCATTTCAAGTGCTCAATAATAGTTATATGTGACTGGTTAGTGGTTCCTATCTTGGACAGCATAGATATAGGACATTCTCATCCATCAGAAAGTTCTATTGACTGTTCTATTTTAGAAAAAGGAAAAACAATACTCCGTTATGCCTCTCAGCTAATGTTCAAGAACAGCTTTTATCTTGGTAAAAATTAAGGATCACAATTAAATAGTTAACAGCCTATCTCACTAAGCATGTTACTTTCTACTATATACTAATCCAAAAGTTACTCAAACTGTGGCTTCTCCATTTACTGGAATTTTAAGAGTGACTTTGACCTCTGCCACATTGCTTAGGAACAATATTATTGAGAAGAACACAATTCTTTTACCTTCTCTTGGAACTTGTGCACAACTAGAGACGAGATACGTCATGGTTGTAGTAAAGAATGAGCACTTTGAATTTAGAGCCTGGACATTATTTCTGGAGGTGATATTGTTGTTGCTGTTGTTAAGTGTTGTCAAGTCCATTCCCACTCATAGCGACCATTAGTAGGGTTTCCAAGAAGCAGCTGGTGGGTTTGAACTGCTGACTTATGGTTAGCAGACCAGTGTTTATCCTATGGTGCCACACCAGGACTCCACAGTTGATATTGTTGTTGTTGTTAAGTGCCATTGTTGTTGCTGTTGTTGTTAAGTGCCATCAGCTGATTCCAACCATCGAGTTGAGTCCGACCCATAGCGACCCTGTATGGGTTTCCAAGGAGCAGCTGGTGAGCTTGAACCGCCGACCTTGCAGCTCAAATGGCTTTGCAGTCTGGCGCATTAACTCATAGCACCATACCAGGACTCCACAGGTGATATTAGACATTCAAAATGTCAACTTAACAATAGCATTTGAAATTGCACAACCAAAATGGGTTATCAATAGAGACATTTTTGAGAAATTACTTTTACCCATCAAAAGGAGAAGTCCATTTCTTAACTTTCTGAAATATTTGTTTTAAACAAGATAAAATTTGGGGCAAGTCCTAGTGTGACACTGTGGGTTAATGCGCTGGACTGCAATGTTGGTTTGAACCTCAAGGTCAACGGTTCAAGCTCACCAGCCGCTCCTTGGAAACCCTATACAGAGTTGCTATGGGTTGGAACTGACTTGGTGGCACTTAACAACAACAACACAGTAGTAGTTCCACTAAAACTATCTATTTCTCTGCGGACTAATAACTTCTATATCAATGCAAGTGACTAGACTAGGACCTGAAACTTCTAGTTGCCAAAAGTATGTTTACACATGGTAGCTATTTTAATTGTTATTGTCCATTCCCACAAAACACCACCACGCAAACATAAATTTAAAGAGTGAAATTTTAAAAAAATTTGACTCTCTCACCTTATAATTGTCTGATGACTAGCCTTTCTAAACTTTCATTACTTCATTAGGCAAATAAGGATCAGAAGAGTTTCCAACAATAGATGTGACCTGAGATGTGTTGTTTCATGTGAAAATGTTCTAATAACAGTAAAGTCAAGTACAAACTTTAGCTAGTGTTAATTAGCACTCTGTCGTCACTTCCAGCAAAAAAAAAAAAAAAAAAAAAAAAGATGAAGAAAATACATTGGAAGAATCATGCTTTACAGTATACTTAATTTAGCTTTTATTACAAACTGTACCCCTAAAACATCTGGGAAGCAACAAGTACTAAAGCCGTCACTGCAGACCACACTGCCACCACCCAGAATTTGTGAACAAATACTCTGGCTACCAGTTATTCTCCTTAGCTAATCTTTTTCTCCAGATGAGAAATATGAAGTGCATGTAAAACACTGCAGGCCTTCTCTGTGAATGATAATCAGCAGCCAATTACAGCAAGAGAAAAATGGTACTGAATTACAAAAAGCCAATTACTAAAATACCTTTCTTACAGGTATGGAATTCAACCTAACACTTCATAAATCCTTGTTCATCACTCGAGTGGCCACAATACAAAATAAAATTCTTAAAATAAAACTGAAGAAAAATTTTTAAACTGCTTCTGTGTTTTGGAGATTAAGAAAAATGCACAAATTCTAACTTGACACCAAAATATTTACTGTTACACCAACTATATTTTTTGGTTTTAATATAAAATCAAACATTGTTTCAGACATTTACCTGCTTCCCACTAGTGTTTCTAAAGGCAGCAGTCATTTTGGTGGTAACCATGATAAGCAGAGAAGACTGGGAGATCAGGGATTTGAATTGAATTTATAGCTGACTCATAGGGAGTGTTTACAACGACATTGCAACCAGGATCCACCCATTTAACACCCTTTCAGTTCCATCCTACACATTTGTTAGGTAGTACCTTTAGAGACCAGCTGCTCCTTGGAAACCCTGTACAGGGTCGCTATGGGTCGGAATCGACTCAACGGCACTTAACAACAACAACAACAACCTTTAGAGCAAGCTGGGAATGTGAAAGACTAAGAATGCTGAAGCCAAACCTTTTTGGTCATGAGTGCTAATTGATTTTGTTTTCCTCCCTTCCTCTCTCTCCTTAGTGACTTGATTGGTCTGAGAATGACATTATAAAGTGTTCTTGTGTTTAGGATACTGATTCTGAGGCGCTATCTAGAAGCTCCTATAGATTAGGTGGTTTCAGTTCTTGGAATTTTACACTGGACAAAATTAGTAATTTGGTAGTTCTCCAGGATACCTGCTAGAGGATTTTCCTTTTTGGTTATATTTTTGTTTACTTAATTTTTTACTTGTTAGCTGAGGTTTTGAAATACTACAGATTGTTATCTGTTACTGGATATTACGATTGTGTTACATTAAACAAACAAACGAGCAAGCCTACTGCCATTGAATCGATTCTAACTCATAGCAACTCTATTAGGACGGAGTAGCACTGCACCTTAGGGCTTCCACCACTGTAACTCTTTATAGGAGCAGACAGCCTCATTTTTCTCCCTGGGAGCAGCTGGTGTTTCTGAATTGCCAGCCTTTCGTCCTTGTGATTAACACCCAGTGATTAAGCCATGGTACCACCAGAACACCTATTGTGTCACATAAAACCAAAACTCACTGTCATACAATTGATTCCAACTCATAGTGCCCCTATATAGGGTTTCAGAGACTATAAATCTCTATAGGAGCAGATAGCCTCATCTTTCTTCCATAGAGCAGCTATTGGATTCAAATGTGTAACCCACTATGTGACCAGGGCTTCTTTTTGTTGTATTATATTGTTGTTGTTGTTATGTGCCGTGGAGTCGGTTCTGACTCAAAGCGACCCTGTAAAGGGTTTCCGAGGTTGTATTATTTAGACGCTTTTAACTTAGAGCTTATCTATAAAATACAGAAATAAGTGAGACACCTTGTAAGAGGTATCTAAATAGAAAGTCATTTCTTTCATTCCCTTGAAAGAGATCTGATATGTTGGTTTTAAAGGACTGTCTCTCTAAAGTAATGACAACATATTTTTAGAGCACTTACCAGGAGCCGGGCACTGTGAAAGCACTTTTCATCTCTCATCTCATTGTTATCCTCATTCACAAGTGAACCCCAAGCAAGTCATTAAAAATGCTTCACCTATTTACTCATTAGTTTATAAACACTCATCGAGGGCATACAGTTAAGTTGGCATTTTCCAAAAGGAGCGACAATAACTTTTTTCAGCCCCTACAACATGTTCGGGATAACATTGTGTGCTTCCACATAAGACAGTTACTTTTCTGCACATTTAAAAGAAGGAAGCTACAAGCATATGAAAAGATGCTCAGCATCATGGGTTATTTAGCCAAACGAATTGCCATCAAGTCCATTCTGACTCAATTTTGACTCATATGGATCCTATAGGTCATAGTTGAATTGCTGCACAGGGTTTCCAAGGCTGTAATCCTTACAGATCTTTACAAAAACAGACTGTCATAGCTTTCTCCCTCAGTGACTGCTAACCTTTCAGTTAGCAGTCAAGTGCTTAACCACTGTGCCACCAGGGCTCCTATTATTAGTAATTAACGAAATACAAATGAAAACCACTATAAGGTTCCACTTCACTATAATAAAAAAGAGAGAGAGAGAAAAAAGAAACAGAAAAGTGTTGATGAGGATGTGAAGATATTGGGACCCTTGTATATTGCTGGTTGTTGTTGTTGTTAAGTACCGTGGAGTTGGTTCCAACTCATAGTGACCCTGCACAGGGTTTCCAAGGCTGTAAATCTTTAAAGGAGCAGAACGCCTCATCTTTCTCCCGCAGAACCACTGGTAGTTTCGAACTGCCGACCGTGAGGTGAGCATCCCGACTCGTAGCCACTACACTACCATATTGCTGGTAGGAGTATGGAAACAATCTGTTCCTCAGACTGTGAAACATACAACGACCATATGACTCAGCAAATCCACTCATAGGTGAATTTCAAAAGAATTGAGAACCTAGACTCAAATACTTTTGCATACATGTTCATAGCAGCATTATTCACAATAGCCTGAAGGTGATAACAAGCCAAATGTTCATTAGTGGATGAATGGATGAGTAAAATGTATCCATAAAATGAAATATATTCAGCCATAGAAAGTGAAGTACTACTGATACACAATACAAGTTGGATAAACCTCAAAAAATATTTGCTAAGTGAAAGAAACTGGACACATAAATTGACATAGTGTATAATTCCTCTTATATGCAAAATCCAGACTAGATCAATCCATAGAGACGAGTCCAGATTGGTGGCTACCAGGGGCCAGTGGTGGAGGGGTGAAGGTAATAAGGAGTTAGTAAGGAAAGGGGCTCCTCTTGTGGTAATGACAATGTTTGGGACTAGATAGAAGTGATGGTTGCACAGCATTGTGATACATTAAATGCCACTACTTGTTCAACTGTTGTTGTTGTTAAGTGCCGTCGAGTCAGTTTCAACTTATAGCAACCCTGTATAGGGTTTCCAAGAAGAAACTGGTGGGTTTGAACCACCAACGTTGTAGTTAGGAGTCTAGTACTTATTCAACCATACCACACCAGGAATGGCTGATTCTATGTTAAATGAATGTCACTTCAATTTAAAAAAATAAAATGAGAAATCTAAGGTTGGTCCAAAGCCTGAAAGGAAAAAAAACCAAAGTGCAAATGTCTCTCTTGACTACAAAGCCTATATTGTTTTGAGTTAGAAAAACTTAGTACCTACTTCAAACTATAGTATATGAACTTACAGTATAGAAGACATGTGATCAAATAAATGGACAATATATGAGCACATTTTGTTATATGGAGATATAATATTGTGGGAACATATACAATGGGGAGTACCTAACCTAGCTGAGGGAATCAATTATTGTTATCCATATACCCTTCAATTTTCTTCTATTAGTAGGTGGCCATAATGATTGGTTCAAGGGGTAGGCCTAGAAGAGTTCTGCCCTGGGTTTTTTCCTTTTCTTTCTTTTTATTTTTTTAACTTTTTATTGTGAATTGAGTGAAGGTATACAGACAAGAACATTAGTTTGACATTCAACATACACTGGGTTTCATCTCAATGATTGCAGTCCACTCCATGTCACAACAGTTATCCTAATTCCTCCCTGGGGTTCCTATTTCCATTCCACTCACCTACCCATCGTGTCTCAACTTGGTCCTTAGGTAAATGTTGCCCTTTTGATTTTGAATGATTGACCATTCTATGGTGAGCATACATTGATAGCATTATTGTCCCCTTATGAATTAGAACCAACTCAAAGGCACTTAACAGCAACAGCAAATAAACCTATCTAGAGTCCTGGTGTGGCACTGTGGGTTAATGTGCCAGACTGCAAGGTCAGTTTGAATCACAAGGTTGGAGATTCAAGCTCACCAGCTGCTCCTCAGAAATCCTATACAGAGTCACTATGGGTTGGAACTGACTTGACAGCACTTAACAACGATATACCTATCTACTGCAGGACTGAAAATTTGTCCAAAAGGCTAAGCTCCTATCCAGACCTGAGGGTGGTTGAAGGCCATAGTCTCAGGTTCCTCCGTCTCTTTCTGACCAGTAAGTCGTCTTTATTTTTTAAGTTTTTTTCCACATTTCTACCACTCTACCCAGGACTTTCTAATGTGATCCCTTTCAGAGCAGTTGGTAGTATTTGCTGGACACCATCTAGTTCTTCTGGTCTCAAAGTCATGAAGACTGAAGTTCATATGTTCCATTAGTCTATTGGACCAATTGTTTCCAAGCCTCTTCAATTCTCATCACTCTTCTTTTTTCCATACATGGAAAGATCAATAGTTGTACTTTAGATAACTGCTCATGAAATTCTAAGATCCCAGATGCTACTCACCAAAGTAGGCTATAGAACATTGTCTCTGTGGACTATGCTATGCCAATTGACCATTGTGTCCCCTGAGACAATAGTCCTGAGCCCCAAGGCCCAGCAACCCTTAAGATGTTTGATAATATCTAAGAAGTTCTCATCATTTTTCCCACTGTATGCTCCACCACATTCATAGTTGTCTTTGCCTGTCCTGGGGTTTTTCAAACCAGAGCTGGAAAAGTAAAGGCCCTTTCTCCTCTCGTTATAAGGTTCTAAGGATAAGAATTACTGAAGCAAAAAGGAATGGTTAATTTTCAACTAACTATGATATTTATAGGAGCTCTGGTAGCGTAGTGGTTACGAATCGGGCTGCGAACCTTAAGGTCAGCAGTTCGAAACTACCAGCCGCTCCGCGGGAGAAAGATGAGGCTTTCTACTCCCGTAAAGATTTACACCCTCGGAAACCCTGTACAGGGTCGCTATGGGTCGGACCCGACTCAACGGCACTTAACAACAACAACAACATGATATTTATGATATATATCATATATTATGATATATGATCAAGAACTTTATAAAATTGAAGGGAGCAGTTCAAGCTGCACTGAAGGTCTTAGCGAAAGACAGAGTTCCAGGACTTGATGGAATACAAACTGAAATCTTTCAACAAACTGATACAGCACTAGAGGCACTCATATATCTCTGCTAAGAAATTTGGAAGACAGCTAACTGGCAAAGTTTGTACCCATCCCAAAGAAGAGTGTGGCACTGCAGGATAAGCACTGGATTGTTAACTGCAAGGTTGGTGGTTCAAACCCACCAGTCACTCCTAGGAAACCCTGTACAAGGTCGCTGTAAGTCAGAAATGACTTTCAGGCACGTAACAACAACAAAGAGAGGTGACTCAAAGGAATGTGGAAATCATTGGACAATTTCATT